GACTTCTGCACATGGGCCACGAAGTTTCAATCGCACTGTACGTGCGCGCCCGCACGTGGTATTTTGTGGAAGAGCCACACTCAAGGGGCCAAAGAGCCGCATGTGGCTCGTGAGCCGCAGTTTGCCGACCACTGGGCTAATATATCATTGTTTCAAAACTGCCCTCAGAAGCACCAGTCACCCAGTAATTTCATGCCTGAGCAAGGTGAGCTTCATATGGCCCTGAAGTCACTGCAGGGTCAAGTGTAACCACCTCCTTTGTCTTGTCACCTGCTCCTGATGTAGAACAAGGCCCATTTGGGGCTTTGCCAGTCTGTCCACCTCTTTACAAAATACAATGAATCCACGTTTTCCATAACAGACTATAGTTTTATGATTATGGGTCATCTGTAAGTTTTCCTAAAATAACACATACAGCAGACGTTACAACTGTGTCCATCACACGGGTGTTGCTTTTCACAGTTCATATATTTGTCAGTAAGGGACCTCAGGGCTGTAAAAGCTAGAGGTGTGTGTGTGTGTGTGTGTGTGTGTGTGTGTGTGTGTGTGTGTGTGTGTTGGAGGGTGCGTGCACTTGCATGCCAAGGCTCAATTTTGGGGCTGTGGAAAAAAATGTTTGTGTTGCTGTCCAAGGTGTTTATTTTGGCTTGAGCTTTATGACATCAGTTGTTAAGCATAGATGACAGTCCTGACAAGTAGAAGTCTGTAAATGGTAGTTAATGCCTGTAATTGAGCATGAACCTGACCTACAAAATTGTGGGATCATGCTTTGATATCGCTGACTAAGGTTTTATCATCACTTAGCTTAAGCTTGTTGTTTTGCCCATTAACTTTCAGACATGAACCTCCAAGGAAAATAGAGCGATTTACTCTTCTCAAATCAGTGCATATTTTCAAGAAGCACAGAGTTCAGTATGAAATGAGAACACTTTACAGATGCTTAGAGGTGAGTTTATTTCAGATATGCAGGTATTTTTGAAATGCCCCATTTCATACTACCATAACTTTCCTTTCACATTGGCTGACTTCCTTTTAGTCAGCTCATGCTAATGGTTGCAGAGAAGGTAAAAGGACCTTTTGTGTTTATGGGAGCAACAGACAGGAAAATCAAACTCAAATAAAGCCATCCTTTAGAATAGTTCTACTTCTGCTCAATAATGCAGATGATGCTGACTAATTTTTTTTTAATTTTTTTAAAATTTGATTACCCCTAGAACAATTTGTATTTCTCAGAGCAACAGATCAAACCATCACGCATTACTTTTTGTTTGTTAACCCTCACCCGAAGATATTCTTTCCATTGATTTTTAGAGAGAGTGGAAAGGAGGCAGAGAGACAGAGAGAAACATCGATTGGTTGCCTCACGCAGGCAGGGATCGGCCTGCAACTGAAGTACAAGACTTTGACTGGAATTGAACCCGTGACCCTTCAGTCCGTGGGCCGACACTGAGCACTGAGCCAAACCGGCTAGGGAGCTGACTAATTTATTTATTTTTTTAAAATATATTTTTATTGATTTAAGAGAGGAAGGGAGAATGAGAGAGAGATAGAAACATAAATGATGAGAGAGAATAATTGATCAGCCACCTCCTGCATTCCCCCCACTGGGGACCGAGCCCACAACCCGGGCATGTGCCCTTGACCAGAAATGAACCTGGGATTCTTCAGTCCACACAGGCCGACGCTCTCTCTATCCACTTAGCCAAACCAGCTAGGGCAGCTGACTAAGTTTTATACAATAAGATAGCATTGGAATAATTTTGCCTGCTTTTCAAAAATTCTAGTTAAATTTTCACACAGTTCTAATAATTGTTTTCACATGCTTCCTGGATTTCCCGTGTCTGTGTGGGGCAGCATTACGATTTTTCATTCACCTTATTCATTTGTGCATCCACTAGGGTTGACATAGTCTTGTGGTTAAGGAGTGCATGGGTTCTGGAGTCAGGCAGCCAGGTCCTAGTCCTGGCACTTACTAGCTGTATGCTTTGTGCCTCAATTCTTTATCTACAAAATGGGAATAATAATGGTACCCATCTCCTAGGTTATGTGAGGATTAAATGAGGTATTTATCTAAAACACTGCGAATACTTCGTCACGTAGTAAATGATTTATAAATGTTATTAAAACAACTTTGTGTATCTTTTACATTGGAAGCGCTGTACTAGACGTTGAGGATACAAATATTAAGATGTAGTTCCACCCTTAAATGGAAAAAAAAAACACCAAAATTGTATGCACCCATGTCCAACAGAAACACTTGAGCATGGAGCATGCACAACATCTCATGCTAACTCTTACCATCTAGTCTGTGTCCTTCTGTGTTGTGTGTTAAGTTGCCTTGTGAGTGTGCTGCTCTGATACCTGCTGGCCAGCTGGGTTCCGTGCAGCTCTGGCTCTCAGACGTCTGGGAGGAGGGTGCTTCAGGGCCGTGCTCCCCATTCAGTTCCACCAGAGGAGCTACAGGGCTTTTAAAATTGGGATTCTGTGTAGATTCCATAGAGGAAGAAAAGGCTCTACCACTTTTACCAATAAAACTTTAAAATTTCTACTCTAACAGCAGAGTATGAACCAATTTTATGTTTGAAATTTCAGCTAAAACATCTAACTGGAAGTACAGCAGATGTCTACTTGGAATACATTCAGCGAAACTTACCTGAAGGAGTTGCCATGGAAGTTACAAAGGTATGACTTTAATTTCTACCTCTATTGGGGGGTAGTGTGTGTTGGGAGCTCCCCAGGTGTAATCTGAAACCACCCCTGGATGCGGAGGCAAGGAGAGAGCGCAGAGAGGCAGACCACTCCAAGTGGTAGGTGGCAGGTTTAATAAGCAGGAGAACTTACTCACCAGCTTTGTCATGGGCAGCTGCCAGACAGTTTGCTTTCTGCACACACCTGCCAAATCTTAAAAGTTATATAGAGGCCCCAACTTGGGTCATTCACGTACCCAGGAGACCTTAACTGGGTCAGTCATGTACTCAGTCCAGATAGTCTCAATACCACATTTCTATCTCAAACCTGTATCCTTGGAGCAGGTTCTGGGAGCAGAGAAGGCAGCAGAACACACATTCCAAAACACAGGGGAGGAGGCAAGGAACCTTTGATTGCCCGGGTTCAGCTCACAGGTCAAACAGGCGGTCATGTCTTTTTGATGACCTTCCCCAACAATCTGTATTGTTGTAATACACTAGAGGCCCAGTGCACGACATTCATACACTGGCGCGGGGAACGGGGTGTCCCTCAGCCCAGCCTGCACCCTTTCGCAGTCCGGGAGCCCTCAGGGGTTGTCCAGCTGATGGCTTAGGTCCGCTCCCCACAGAGAGTGGGCCTAAGCCATCAGTCAGACATCCTTAGCGCGCCACGGAGGCGAGAGAGGCTCCTGCCACCACTGCTGCACTTGCCAGCCGTCAGCCCAAATTGTGGCTGAGCGGTGCTGACCACCAGGGAGCAGCTCCTGTGTTGAGCATATGCCCCCTGGTGGTCAGTGCGCATCATAGCGACCAGTCATTCCACCATTCGGTCAATTTGCATATTACCCTTTTATTATATAGGATTGCAGCCTGGTCCTGTCCCACTGAGTGGAGGGGAGGGCCTGTGGCAGACCTGGAGGCAGGATTGCCACAGTAGTTGGGGTCTCCACCTCCCTGTGCAGTGGTGGCAGTTCAACCAAATCATCCTGCACTGTAGCCACATCCTCCCCGAGCCACCTCCGAAGTCTCCCTCCCTCCCAGGAGTTGTCCAGACACGGGGACCACATTAGGTGGCAGTCCCTAGAGATCACTGAGGATCGAATAGATTATCTGTTTCCGAGTTTTATATACCATCAAGTTTTCTTCTCTCTGTTTTCAAAGCCTACAAAAAGATGAGAGGAGTATGGGTAGGGGGGTGGCAAGTAGGGGCTAGGAGATAAAAGAAGTCAAGAGGATTTAAGGGAACAAAACTCATCTATTTTGTGGCCAAAGAGTTCAGTTAAGTCCACATTATACTATAGTTCTATTTTTCTCTTTTTAGACAAAATTAGAACGGTTACCAGAACACATCAAGGAGCCAATCTGGGAAAAGATACCAGAGGCAAAGGAAGAAAGCAAGTCATAAAGTCTCAGAGACTAGTTGTGTGGGCTTTTGAATTCGGGTGGGCCAGCCACGTGGGCTCAAGTGGAGAGTGCTGCCAGTTGAGACGGTTCACTGTTGAGTCCACATGTCCTGATCATGGGCAGCAGGGGATGGAGCATTAAGGATACAATGGACTACAGTGGAAGAGCCACTTTATCTGTCCTTTTATACATGTCATCATTTCAGTTCTGATTTTACCAAATGTGAGTAAACTGTTTTGACCACTATGCACCAAAAGAGTCTGTTTATATTTTATTCTGCTATTGTTCAATTATTAGTTTGTACTAATTTTAATTTACATCATATCATTCATCTGAAAGTGAATATTTGAAATATTGCTCACATACATTTTTTTCTTTAGAAATTCCTAGAAGAAACCTTTGGTTAATTTGATTAATTTAACACTGAGCAATTGAAGTTTTTGATACTCTAGAACAGGCAGCATATAGTTGTTTGTTCGGGGGTGATGACCTCCAAATTTGACCTCATTTAAGCTCTCCATTCTTGAAAATGAATATACTTTGCAGCAGACCAAGCACACTTGAGGCATACACTGCACCTTCTAGTGGCCCAGACCCTGCAGGGCTGCCTAAAAGGGTCACTGTAATGGAATTTAAGCTCTCAAGACATTACCACTGTATCATTTCACCCATCCTGTGATTCATTCATTCAACGGGCTCTTATTTTGTTAACTTACCAAAAATTGAATAGAAATAACAGCCTTTGAAAATTGTGCAAGGCACAAACCATTTTCCTTATTAAGTTCCTCACTGATAAGAAGGCCTCCCTCTTTTGGTAATGGCAGTCTTTTGTTTGGAGATGTCTACTTTTCCATGAAATTAAATAGAGGTTAAAGCCCTGAAAGAAGCAGGACTGCAACGGGCTGAAACTGTTGATGGATCAACCCCAAGGGAGTGATTCGTTTCCTTTTTACAGCAGAACCAGGGCCTCGTCTTTTGTCGTTTTCTTCACATCTTTGGAGTAGTTATGTCTTCTCAGTTTTTCCCCCCTTGCACTGGAATTCCTGTTCTCTCTTCCTTACCTGCTATCAGGTATCGGTGTTTTGAATGCATACTGCTTATGTATCAGACTTACATTACTGTCATTAACATGAAAAGAATTACAGCCTTGGGGCCCCTGGCCTCCTTCCCTTCTCAGCTCAGTTGTTGACTATGTCATTCACAAATGCCTAAAGCATGCTTATCTCAGGTATAAGCAGGTATAAGCCTCAGGATTAAGAACTAGTCAATAAAACAAGAGCAATATAATGGTAATTATATCTAGCAAAGCAGCAATTTGTGACCCATTTGAACTTTAATTCTTTAAAGGTAAATACAGCTTTTTTGTATGTGTTTTTAGATCATATTAATCACTGTAGTATGATAGGATAATCTATGCACACTCAGCCCCAGTGACTCACTGTGAGCTAAAGGGGTGCATCCGAGTCCGACTGTTTTCATTTTCAGTTAACCCGTAAACCAGATTACTCAGGTTGGCACTTCAAATTATATATTAAAATCTTGTTTTAAGATAAATATGCAAATAAACTACACATGTGACAAAAAGTAGTGATACTTTCGTGACAAAAGTATTTGAAACCTACTTCTTGATATAAACAAGGTAATTTCTTTATCCTGGTAGGCTGAGAAAGTGTTTTTTAGTTGAATCTCCCATGTAAAATGCATGTTCTAAAGCTTGGAATTAATGCCCAAGTCTCACTGTCTGTCCACAGTGGGGGTGGGAGGTGGTGAGAGAAAATGGGACCTGATGGTAGAATGAACCTGAAGGCCGGTACGAAGTGACATTATTGAGAGGTAGCCCTGAGTTCACTGTTGCTTCTTCTAATCTGAAATATATTTCCTTTTCATATTAAACAAAATAATAATATGGTCTGTTTGAAATTATTGATAGAACTCTACAAATTAGACTTGTTTGGTGCCTAGTTTCAATGCTTTCAAAGAATTACTTATATGTTCCTTTGGTCACCTTACACAGAACATAGTAAATATAGAAAGCCATTGTTTTAAAGAAGGAGTCTAATTTCTTAGCATTCACAGTGGGGGTGGGAGGCAGTGAGAGAAAATGGAGCCTGACGGTAGAATGAACCTGAAGGCCGGTACGAAGTGACATGATTGAGAGGTAGCCCTGAGTTCACTGTTGCTTCCTCTAATCTGAAATATATTTCCTTTTCAGATTAAACAAAATAATAATATGGTCTGTTTGAAATTATTGATAGAACTCTACAAATTAGACTTGTTTGGTGCCTAGTTTCAATGCTTTCAAAGAATTACTTATATGTTCCTTTGGTCACCTTACACAGAACATAGTAAATATAGAAAGCCATTGTTTTAAAGAAGGAGTCTAATTTCTTAGCATTTCTGTTTGTCAGCTGCCATTCCTCCTTCCCTACATTCAGTTTTACTGCAGCACTAATGAGTAGCAGAGTAGAGAAAACATGGACTTTGGAGTCAGACAGGTCTGTGTCAGATAAGAGTTCAAACCCACTAACTGCAATAAACTTGGGCAAGGTAGTTAATCCTGTCAGAGCCTCAATTTACTCCTGAGTAAAATGTAGAAGACAGTGCCTCCTCATTAAGGTAGGAGTATTAAATTAGGTCACTTATAGAACACCTCACAGTTCCAAGTAAGTAATAGACATGAGTGAATAATAGTTATCACTAGATGGAGTGCGAATCCAATGGCATCCCAGATGCTTGTGCACTGCCCGGTTTAGATACCAGCTGGAAGGGCTGTGAAGGTTAATTTAGCCGAGAAAGCATGTAATGTGCATTGTAATCACCGCCATACATTATGCCAAGCATTTTACATAGTCACAGATATTCTCATTTCATCTTTATAACAACCCAATAAAGTAGTTACTGTTATTACCCCCATTTTCCAGGACAGAAAACCAAGTTCTGACTTCCCCATTCAGTATCCTTTCAGTTTACAGATAAAGCTGAGGCAAAAAGGGTGAAACGGATTTGTATGAGTTCAGATTCGTGACAGGGACAGCCCCAAACCTAATTTTTAAAGAGTAGGAGGTACTCAGAATATTCAAACCTAAAGTCCAGATTTATTTCCCCTTTCACATTGGCAGAACGTACTTATTTCCCCTAAGTTTTGGAAGTAAAATGATCAACTGGGAGTGGGGGAATCTAAGGCATAAAAGATGTAAATGTGATCTGAATAAAGATAAAAAGTATAATACACAGTGCGATTCTGATCCCTGTGGTCTCAAGGTCCACAGGGTGTGAGGGGGCAGCATAAGAGTTTAGGCTGCATCAAGGAGGGTCCCACTGGGTCACAAGAACCAGCATGGAGGTTATTTGCAGTAGCTTGGGGCCAGGCCCAGCTAGGGCTCAACAGACTAGGTCTATGGCTCAAGCATTTCTTATACCTGGAGCCGAGCTTATGGCTGACTGCCTGTGAACCCCCGGGTTCTCTGCAAATCCCCGTTCAATTCCTAGCCCTGCCCTCCTTAAACCCTTACTATTATTACTCACTTTAAGCTATCATTTCTCTCTGTGGAGTCCTAATCCTCTTTGAAGTGATATATTTATACTTCAACAGCTCAGCGTATTAATGGGGCAGGTCATGGTCAACTGACCCACATGAAAAGCCAATTGAATTTTAGATTCTTTAGCCAGAGTCTAAATCAAGTTATATCTCATTCATACAATTTCTTAATGTCCTTTAATCACTCCTCAATTTTGCTTAAATATCCATAAATACGAAGAGATGGTCAGGGATGACACCATCTTCACACTGAGCCAGTTGAGTCACTGTTGGTTCAGAGCCACAGCCACTGATGGGCACATGCCTTCAGGTGTGATGAGATGGGAGGAAGGTGGAAATCACTGAGCAGGATCTTCAAGGCCTCTTCTAGTTCTAAAGGCCCATTATCTTTCACATCGATACATACCTGCTAACCCAGGCACTCAAAGGAGTCAAGAGGAGTTGTCTTGCAAAATTAAGGACTAATAGCTCTCATTAATTCAGCACTAACTGTGTGTCATGCACTTTGCTCAGTTACTCAACAAGTGTTTGAGTTTCTTGTATGTGCCAAGCACTGTCCTAGGCATTGGGAATTCCGTGGTGTACGGGGTGAAGTCCCCCTCCTCAAGCATCTTAGACTCTATGGGGAGGACATAATAAGGAAAAAAATAAGATAGTTTCAGCTTTAGTTAAACACTATGAAGAAAATGAAGTAAGATAATGTCAGAATTCCTTGAGGAGGGGAGAAAGTCAAGGAGGCAGCCACGTGAAGACCTGAGGGGAGAGCAGTCCAAGCAGCAGGACCAGTCAGTGCTAAGACCCAGTGAGCTTGGTGTGTCAGCAGACAAGGACAGAGGAACATGACCACAGCAGGCAGGGGCAGATGATGTGATGCATCATGGCCATGGGGAGCAGTATGGGTTTTATTCTGAGTGCAGTGGGAAGCCATTGGAGGGTTTGGAGCAGACAAGTGATAGGATCTGATTTATGCCTTAGAACACACTACTCTGGCTGCTGGGTAGGGGCTGTGAGGAGGGGGTTGTTAGGAGGGGCAGGAAGACTGGTTAGGGCCTTCTGCAGTGGCCCAGGTGAGAGGATACGGCCTGGACTGGAGTTGTAGTGGAGGTGATGAAAAGTGGTTGATTCAGAATATAGTTTAGAGGTGGAGCTGATGGAATGACCTACTAATAGATCGAAATGAGACCTAGATGTCAAGAATGACATCTAGGTTTTGGCCTAAGCAACTGGGTAAATGGTGATGCCATTACTGCAGTTGAGAAGGGATTTGGGAAGAAAATCAGTAGTTTGGCCTTGGCCTTGCTAAGTTTGCCATCTGAGGATAGATGTCCAGTAGGCGGCTGAGTTCATGAATCTGAGTTCTGGAGAGAGTCCAGGCTGAAGATGTAAGTGTGGAAGCTGTCAGCCTACAACTGGTATGTAATGTTGGGGATGGGGAGAATGTGGGTAGATGAGAAGGGTATCAAGAACAAGCCTGGGAAGCCCCAAGCATGTAGAGATTTGGTAAAATGGAGGCGATGAGCCATCAGTGAGGTTGGAGTGAAACCAGACAAGTGTGGGTCCTTGAAACCTGAGTGTTTGGAGGAAGAATTCACTTGGCGAACCATGATGAATCTGCTGGCAAGCTGAGTAACGAAAGCAGGTCATTGGTGACCCCTGTACAAGCCTTGTCCATGGAGTGATGGGGATGAGCATCCAATTGGAGTAAGTTGAGGCGAGAATAAGAAAGATGAGGACACAAGACAGGTTTGAGAATGGTCAGTTATTTATTGTTACCCTAGAAAAATACCCAGATTTAGTAGCTTAAAGCGAAGACAACATTTACTTTGCACACAAATCTGCAATTTGGTCAGGGCTCTGCGGGGAGATTGTGTGCTCCATTTGGTATCAACTGGGGTGTCTGGGAGGCTGGGCCTGGAGTCACTCACTCACCCACAAGTCTGATGGTTGAGGCTGGCTGACAGCCGGAATCCCTGAATGTGCCTGAGCTTCCTGACAACATGGCGTCTGGGTTCCGAGGGCAAGTCCTGAGAGAGCCAGGCCTAGACCCTATCACCTTTGATGACCTAGCCTTGGAAGTCACATGGTGTCCCTCTGCCCATCCTCTTCGATGAGGTAGCCACAAAGTGCCATCGGGTTGAAGAGAAGGAGAAGTAGACTGCCCCTTGGTGGAGGAACACGTGACACCAGATCTGTTGCTGTGCCGTTTTTGGAAAACAGATCTGCCACAGAGGGTTTTGTTGTAAGAGAAGCCAAAATTAGGACAGTAGATGGAGGGGATGGCGGGCAGGGCCAGTGGATCCAGGGGTCCAGAGTGCCGAGGGACCACAATATTTTAAATTTCTTTTTAAGTGTTGTAATTTCTTTCAAAATCAGAAGGATGAATTTAATCTAGTCTGGGCTGGACTGGGTTATATTCATCTTTATACCAATGAGTGATAAAATATTTTAAATATTTATGTAAGTAATACTTATTTATTCCATATTTATCTTGTGACCCATGAAGGTAACGTGCGTAGGCCCATGAAGGTAACGTGCGTAGGCCCATGCAGGTGGTAATGGGACCCTGAATGTGGCGTCAGGGCAGGATTTTTGTTGTTTGACTTTGTTTTATTAATGGTGATACTAAAGCTTGTCTTCAGGTGGGAATGATCCATTAGAGAAGGAAAATCAGGATGCAGAAGAGAAAGGAATCGTTGTGGGGAGGAAGTGCGGAGAGCTGAGCCTAGAAAACAAGTGGAGGACCTGGCAGGCGAGAAGCGGGGAAGGGACGCTGCTTCCGCTGAACCAGGAGGAGGCAGAGCACGTGGTTCGGATGCAGGGAGTGTGTCCGGTGGGAAGATGAGGTGGCTGTCTGATGTGTCTGATCCTCTGAAATGAAGCTTGACAGGTCATCAGCTGAACGTGGGAGGGAGTAAAAGGTTTGAGGGTGGGAAGTATGTGGGATAGTCATCCCAGGGAGGGGAGAGGAGGTCGGCAGGGAGGCGTAAGCTTACTTGTGTGTGCAGCCAGCATGACTTTATGATTGTTTCTGTGTTCAGCCTCCTGGGTGCAGGCGAGGTGTTAGCACAGTTAGTGGTTAGCTTTAGCCAGGGTCAGGTTTTGCCAAGTGAGCAGTTAGAGGGAGAGAGGGGTGCAAAGGTCAGGGTCATGGCAAGGAAACGTCAGGTGTGTCAAGCCGTGGGTAAGGACAAGAGGAAAGCGGGATATAAGCGGGGCGACAGATGTTTTAAAAAATACAAGATCAATAGGTTGCGAGTCTCAATGCGGCTGGAGACTTGTTGGAGTGCAGGTGTTAGGATACATGAGCTAGAAGGAGAGGTGATGCTGTTCGAATGTCTCGGAGGGGGGACAGAAGTGCCTGATAGCAAGGCCTAGGAATGGCTCCTAAACTGTGTGCATTGGAAGGACCTGGAGGGCTTAAACAGATGGCTGGGCCCACCCCGAGTTCCTGATTCGGTAGGCGAGGTGAGGCCTGGGCATTTGCATGTCTAACAAGCTCCCAGATGCTGCAGCTGCGGGCCGGACCTCAGCGATGGGAGGCCTGTGTGGGATGGAAGGAGAGCTTCTTGGAACTAAGGAGATGAGGATCTTTGAGGCCAGCTTGTGGGATGGTCAGCTCTCCACCTCAGGCTGTCCCTGAGCGATGCTTTGAGACACACGTGAAGTCACTAGTGAATAATGGCAACAAGGATGAGTACATGGAGGGGTGGAGTCGGACATGGCTTCGAAGGGACTGGCATTTTGAGGGGGAAAAGAGAAAGGGTGGAAGCAATGCTTAAGAGGAAGGAGGAGACTGGCCTTATTCTCCAGACCCTGAGGGGTGGGGGCTGTGGGGGAAAACCCACCAGCACTTTGCAGGATGACAGGAAGTGCAGTTCCTACTTCAGGAATGGGGAGGAAGGTAGAACAACGGAGAGGTTAGGGACGCATGGAGGCAGGGAGCCATGAGCACCCAATGGGAGGCAGGCGGTGCTGCCCCAAAGACGGGCCGTCACTGGAATGACTCCCCCTAAATTCTAGAAAAATCAGTGCTGCGGGTTTTCTGATTTCTTGGAGGTATCATTTTTTATATTGCATTAAAATAAGCATGAATATAAAATTGACTCAAAAACAAATTTGCATACACCTTTAGTATAAAAGTAAGAGACTTCAGAGATATCTTAAACCGCGCTCCCAGATCCTCCTCAGGCGGAGAGAAAATAGCAAAGCCTCCAGGTCTTGGGTGAAGGGTGTTGGAGGGAAGCATTTGTACTTTAAACTGGAAAGTGGGGAACTTCCAAGACTCAAGGGGGCGATCTGTATTGTGCCGGGGACTGAGTTAGCTTCGGGCACAGCTGCTCACCTAGAGCCCTTCAAGTTGTAGGTGCTGCTGCTTCTCACTAGGCAGCATGGAGGGGCTGAGCCCAGGAGCGCATGTCTCCCAGATGGGCCTCTCTGGGGCAGTGTGGTGCCCAACCAAAGGGACAGGGAGCGTGTGGGCCATGGAGGGTCTCAGCCTGTCTTCCCAACTGGTCTTCGCTCTCTCCTCCCCTCAGGTTCCTCCCTTTCTCCCTCTTCAGAATCTTCTGGGTGGCTTAGCTGAGTGGTTGACAATATGAAGAGGAGGGGTGCGGCTGGGGGAGCTTAGCAGGCTGGAGGGAATCTTCTAATGATCTTAGGACGCTGAGCTGGCCTGGTTCTGTCCACCTTGTCACCTGCGCCCTATACCGCCCATCATGTTCAGTTGCCCGGGAGATGGTGAAGAGGCTGGCTAAGCTAAGGAAAGGGAGGGAGAGGGCCCTAACCTACGAATCGACCAGCAGCAGCCGAGAGGAGACAGACCCTTGCTCCCTGCCGTTCCGGGGCCAGGATGGGGCAGCAGTTCAGCTGGGAGGAGGCGGAGGCGGCGGGCGAGATGGACGTGGCGGAGCTCCAGGAGTGGTACAAGAAGTTCGTGGTGGAGTGCCCCAGCGGCACGCTCTTCATGCACGAGTTCAAGCGCTTCTTCAAGGTCACAGGCAATGAGGAGGCCACCCAGTATGTAGAGGGCATGTTTCGAGCCTTCGACAAGAACGGGGTAAGGCACCCTGAAGGGGGGACTGGTGGCCCGTCCACTTGGCCCGTTTCTCATCCTTGTGCTCAAGGAACAGCCTCGCGTGGGCTCCCCGTTCCCAGTCCTCCTGCTTTTCCTCTCTCTCCACTCCCCTCACCTTTTCTGTCTCACTCTTTCTCCGAAACTCTCCTCCTCCCTCTCCCATCATTCTGTGCCTTCCCGTCTTCTCTCCCCTCCTCTCCATCTGCCCTTTCGTCTGACTGTCCCTGTCTCCACTCCTGGTGCTGAAGGTGGGCTGGGCAGCGGGCACACTGTTTACAGCCAGGGCTTCGCAGCCTGAGGACCTGGTTTCCACCCCCACCCGAGCCCCTGTCACTCTAAAGATAAGGAGCAAAAGAGCTGCCCAAATGGGACGAGCGTGTTGGCATAGACCCAGAGCTCCTCCTCTGCTTCTGAGTCAGCAGCAAGCCGGCGAGGGCGTGAGCGCGTTTGTTACTTCAGATTAAATGATGAGAAATGGGGGCAAAAGGAAGTGAATTCACCTGCCCACAATCAGCTACTCAGGGGTCCAGACTCCCAGACAAGTGTGCCTGCCTGGGAGGCAGTTTGTGTTTTATAAAGAGAGAAAATTATTTTTTTAAAAGTAGGTCCTATGTCACAAAACTTACTATCCTAAGTCGATCTTCCTTGTTCATCTAAAAATTCAATATAACAATTCAGGAGCCAAAAGAGATTATTTAGCCCAGGTCCTATGCCACAAAACTTACTATCCTAAATGTGTCGATCTTCCTTGTTCATCTAAAAATTTAATATAACAATTCAGGAGCCAAAAGAGATTATTTAGCCATGGGCGTAATATAGCTGGGCCCCTTATATCCCATCTGGTCTTACAAATTAGCATATACATTCATCAATTTCTTTTTCCTTTCTTTATAACTTTTATTTTGATAGGATTTCAAATTTAAGAGCAAGTTGGAGACATTACGCCCTTTATCCCTAAGTATTTCTGTGTTTCTTCTAAAAATGAGGTCATTCTTTTAAATAAGCTAATACAATGATTAAAATCAGGAAATTTTGCACTGATATAATTCTATTATCTAATTAACAATCCATATTCAAATTTGGTCAATTTGTGCCGATAATGCCCTTCTATGCTTTTTTCCCTTTGGTGGTGGGGGGTGATCACTCATTGCATTTACTTGTCCTGTCTCCTTACCCTTTAATTTGGAGCCTTTAATTTCAGCTTTTCTCTGTCTTGTTTGACCCTGACATTTTAGATCCGGGTTGTGCACTTCTAGCAGAAGTGCTGCAGAAGTGGCCTTTATCCTCGGTGCCCGATGTCAGGGGGCAGGTGACGTTGGTCTGTCCCTTTCCTGGGGTTGCTGACTTCTCCATTTGGTTATGTGGTACCTGCTGGGTTTCTCCACGTTACTATTTTCCCTTTGTAATCAGTAAGCATCTTATAGAGCAGTGATGGCGAACCTTTTGAGCTCGGCGTGTCAGCATTTTGAAAAACCCTAACTTAACTCTGGTGTCGTGTCACATATAGAAATTTTTTGATATTTGCAACCATAGTAAAACAAAGACATATTTTTGATATTTATTTTATATATTTAAATGCCATTTAACAAAGAAAAATCAACCAAAAAAATGAGTTCGAGTGTCATAGGTTCGCCATCACTGTAAATATAGAGGGTGCTTAAGACAAAGCAAATATCCTGTTGCTCATCCAATTTTCACCGACTGGGTTGGGCATCCGCTGTTGGTTTTCTAACTCCACCATCCCTTCTCAATGGACATTCCGCTGCAAGGAAGAGCTTTCCTAGGAGGTGTGCTAAGTGCCTCTCTCAGGGACTGAGCCTTCTTTCTCTCCTCTTCCCGCTTAGTCTCCATGCCCACAATCTTTATATCAGGGAGTCTCATTTCTGGGCAATTGGTCTGAGATTTCTGGGGCAAATAAAATCAAAAGAGTTCATAGATCTAGGTCACACATCAAAACCTGGGGTGACAGAAATGGGTGTGGTGGTGACCAGCAGGGATGACGCACTGGAATGAAGAAAAGGGTTGAAGCTCAAATGTCACTTGGGACCCTTATGTAACATGCACTGGGGTCAGGGCTGGTGCACAGGTGCAGTCACTTCAGGGAGAAATGGGGCAGATAATCCCAGAGCCGATCACACGCCTGTCACTTCTGCTCCTGCCGCTTGAGTAGACAGGTGTTTCCATCATCCTGGGCTTCTGGGGTAATTAAGGCTGACGAGGGGAGGGCGGTGCACAGGGATGAGATTGGTCCCAGCCGGAAGCTTCCCAGAAAGGGCCCTGGGGTTCCCGGTAGCCTCACCGGGGAGACCACTTGTCTGAAAGGGGCTCCTCTAGAACATGCCTCTTGTGGACAAGAGGTTGGGGGAGGAAGGACCTCTACCCTCAAGGTTCTTCTGGCCGGTCTAATCGTCAAATAGACAAGAGACAGATTAGCAAGAGAAAATAAGCAAATTTAATTCCTCCTCCAGGAACCCCACATACAGGGGAGCCAGAGACCTCGCATGCATGGGCACGGGAGGTTCAGAGACAAAGGGAATGCGGGAACAAGACATCCTGAGCTGGGGATGAGCTAAGGTGCCTTGGGGGCTCACAGGGTCATTGCAGGGTAAGAAGAGCAGATGTTCAGGAAATCGCAATTCGTCCGGCAGTATAGATAGCTCAGAAGAGGTTATCACTGGTAATCAATTATGGACAAGGCCCCAAATTCCAGTTCTTCTAGGTAGTCAAGGGAGGGGCAGACATTTCTTTAGGGCCCACATGCAATGGATACTACTCAGCAATAAAAAGTTGCCTTCAGTCCTAGCCGGGTTGGGTCAGTGGATAGAGCATCAGCCTGCAGACCAAAGACTCCCAGGTTCAATTCCAGGCAAGGGCATATACTTTGCTTGCAGTCTTCTCCCTGCCTGGGCCCTGGTTGGGGCTGCAGGAGGCAACCAATCAATGTGTTTCTCTCACATCAATGTTTCTCTCTGTCCTTCCCGCTCTCTCCCACTCTCTCTAAAAATCAATGGAAAAATATCCTCGGGTGGGTTTTAAAAAAATAATAAATAAAATAAAAACAACTGGAATTATAAGAAAAAAAAAAGTTGCCTTCAGCCCAGCTGGTGCAGGTCAGTAGTTGAGCATCCACCTATGAACCAGGAGGTCACGGTTTGATTCCGTTCAGGGCACATGCCTGGGTTGTGGGCTTGGTGCCCAGTGTGGGGCGTGTAGGAAGCAGTCAATCAATGATTCTCTCTCATCATTGATGTTTCTATCTCTCTCTCCTCCCTTCCTCTCTGAAATCAATTTAAAAAAATGTATTTTTTAAAAAGCCAATCTTGAAGGATTGCACATTATATGATTCTAACGCTATACCATTCCCCAAGTGATACTGTTACAGTGATGGGGAATAAAAAGCCAATCTTGAAGGATTGCATACTATATGATTCTAACGCTGTACCATTCCCCAAGTGATACTGTTACAGTGATGGGGAACAGATCAGTGTTTGCCAGATGTCATGATGGGGAGAGGAACGTGACTATTAACAGGTAACAAGTGAGTTTGTGTCGAGAGTTACTCATATCTACGAATGTGATAAAAATTTCATAAAACTATATACCTGCAGCCCGGCTGGTGTGGCTCAAGTTGTTGAGCGTCAACCCATGAACCAGGAAGTCACAGTTCAATTCCTGGTCAGGACACATGCTTGAGTTTTAGGCTTGATCCACAACAAGAGGCAGCCAATCAGTGATTCTCTCTCATCATTAATGTTTCTATCTCCCTCTCCCTTTCTCTCTCTGAAATCAATTTTGAAAAATACATATTTTAAAAAATTGTTTTTGGAAATTAAAAACCCCAAAAACAAAAGATTATACACCTGCAAAAGCAGTACACCAAAGACGAGTGGGGGGTGGGGACAAACAGCCACTGCTAAGAATCTACCCCCAAGAAGCCACCAGAGATGTTAGAGAAATACGAGTGTACAAAGATGTTCATCGTGTGGTGTAAAACATTAAACCCACGTTCAGAAAGAGGGGGTGTCCCGGACACCTCAGAAAATGAAAGGTATGATTTTAAATAATAATACATATTAAAAAAATTGTTTTTGGAAATTAAAAACCCCCAAAACAAAAAATTATACACCTACAGAAACAGTACACTAAAGACAAGTGGGGGAGTGGGGACCAACAGCCACTGCTAAGAATCTACCCCCAAGAAGCCACCCACCTACAGCCCGGCTGGTGTGGCTCAAGTTGTTGAGCGGCAACCCACGAACCAGGAAGTCACAGTTCAATTCCTGGTCAGGACACATGCTTGGGTTTTAGGCTTGATCCCCAGTAGGAGGCAGCCAATCAGTGATTCTCTCTCATCATTAATGTTTCTATCTCCCTCTCCCTTTCTCTCTCTGAAATCAATTTTAAAAAATACATATTAAAAAAATTGTTTTTGGAAATTAAAAACCCCCAAAACAAAAAATTATACACCTACAGAGAAACAGTACTAAAGACAAGTGGGGGAGTGGGGACCAACAGCCACTGCTAAGAATCTACCCCCAAGAAGCCACCAGAGATGTTAGAGAAATACGTGTGTACAAAGATGTTCATCTTGTGGTGTAAAACATTAAACCCACGTTCAGAAAGAGGGGGTGTCCAGGACACCTCAGAAAATGAAAGGTATGATTTTAAATAATTTTGAAGAATGGGACATCTATAATAATAAAAGGGTAATATGCTAATTAGACTGGACCTCCTTCCATATGACCTTCTGGATGAAACCGGGGTTGCGAGGGAAGCCCGGTTCCCAGGTGCCTGCCGGCGGCTGGAGGGAAGCCCAGGTCCCGGATGAAACCGGGGTTGCAAGGGAAGCCCAGGTCCCGGGTGCCAGAGGAAAGCTGGTGCCAGTAGTAGGGGGAAGGAAGGCCTACTCTTGCATGAATTTCATGCATCAGGCCTCTAGTTTTAAAATAAAAATCCAGGAACTGAAACTATACCTACAGTCTGATCTCAATTATGTAGTACACAGTGGGGGGAGAGGGAACAGAAGAACTATATAAAAGATACAGAATAAACACTTCAGGTGCTGAGATGGGCTCCTTTTGTTTTCTTCTTGGTTGATCCAGAGGCTTTTATGCTGTTTTCCCCATTTCCTGCCGTGTTCTCCTGTTGCTCACATCTTGCTCACCCAGGCACCCCCATCTGGGGCTGGGACTCCGGGTGGCCTGACCCAATGAGACAGAGGTGCTCTGGGCCGGCAGCACCATTTCTGATTACACAGTCATGGGAATGAGACACTCCTGGGGAGCTGATGACTCAGGTGTTTGATTTGGAGAGTGAGGTCCCCGCCCTGAAATACGCCCCGTGGAGCTCAGCCTGAGACCGGGGCCCCACTGACCCGCTGCAGCCACCACCAGCAGCCTCTCCCCTCACACTCCTCCAGAGTCACAGCAGGTTCCCCAGCCTCTTGCTCACTGCTGTTGGAATCATCGTTGCCGTCACATTTCTGCTGGGGGAAAGTTTGGTTTCCAGCTCAGGGTCACCTCGGAAGTGACCTGTGCCCTCCTCCTTCCGCTGGCCCCTTAGCACCTGAGCTCTGTCTCCCGCTTCCTGGGTGGGGGTGGGGTGCAGGCCTATCCTTCAGTGTCAAGTCCACGTGGGCCTAGGTGAGCAGGGCTGCACGGCCTGTCCCTTTCCCCGGGCACCAAGTGAATGAAAGTGCAAAAGAAATTTTCAATGTGAGCACAGCTTTCTAATCTTTCAAAACTACCTTGGTCTCAAATTCAGATTCAGTTGATCATTTATTCATTGATTCATAAATATATTTTTAATATATTTTTATTGATTTCAGAGAGAAAGGGAGAGGGAGAGAGAGAAACATCAATGATGAGAGATATGCTAGTTGACTGCCCTGCCCTCAGAGATGGTGGTGCCCACAGCCACAAGATGGCAGTGCCCAGTCCCCTCAGCCCTGCCGAGGAGGCAGTCTTGCGGCAAGTGCCTGCCTCTGGAGTCCCCCAGTCCTCTCCACCCCCTAGCTGCCCAGGGCTGGCCCAAGGTGCAGGTAAGCCTCGGATAGCGGCTGCCTAGCTGCCCAGGGCCGCCTGAGGCATAGGCGAGCCTCGAATAGTGCCTGCCCAGCCACCCAGGACTGCCCGAGGCTCAGGTAACCAGGGCCGGCTGAGGCTTGCGCTGCCGGCAGTGGCAGCAACAGAGGGGTGATGGGGCATCGCCTTCCCCTGATCATTGGGTCACCTCCTGCCCCTGAGGGCTCCCAGACTGTGAGAGGGGGCAGGCCAGGCTGAGGGACCCCCAGCCTGGAAATTTGGAGAGTGAGGTCCCAAAAGAATTTTCATGCACAGGGCCTCTAGTTTGTAAATATTTTTGAGATCCTGACTCTGCAGAAATGGCAATGTGCTAGGCATGGAAGAGAAACAAAAGCAATGTAACCCCTCTCTTGTTTCCAGAGCACACATTAGCTAGGGAACGAGGCTTACTTAGGAAGCAATTGGTGCCAATGCCAGAGTAAGTCCCAAACTGCACAGAATAGGAGGCAGGTGCTGTGAATGTGAGAGGAGGGAGGGATCACTGGCTGAAGTGGTCTGAGAAGGAAGGCTTCCTAGAGGAGGGGACCTTTGAGCTGAGCCTTGAAGAACAGGTAGAACTGGGTGATCATGGAGAGGAAAGGATGCCAGCGTGGAGAACAGCATGAGCAAAGGTGCAGAGGCCAAACGTATTGCAAGGATGAGGCAAAGCCCTGAGCTTGTGGCAGTGGATGGTCCAGAGTAGGTGCCCACCTGTGCCCTGGAGGTGGGCAGTGGACCAGGAGGGCTCACAGCTCCCACTCCCAAAGCAGGACAACACCATCGACTTCCTGGAGTATGTGGCAGCCCTGAACCTGGTGCTGAGGGGCACCCTGGAGCACAAGCTGAAGTGGACCTTCAAGATCTATGACAAGGACCGCAACGGCTGCATCGACCGCCCGGAGCTGCTCGACATTGTAGAGGTCAGTGCCTGCCCCCTGGTGGTCAGTGTGCATCACAGTGACCGGTCATTCCGCTGTTCGGTCGATTTGCATATTACCCTTTTATTTATAGGATTCTCTTTTCCTCTCTGAATCTCCATTTTCCTCCGTAAAGTAGTGTTGAGATCATCACAGTGCCATCCAAATCCCTCATTTTGTTTTTTTTAAGACTTGTGTTTTGTGCTTTTGGAGGTTTTTGGTGGGTTGTTTTTTTTTTAATCCTCATGCTTTTATTGATTTGAGAGAGAGAGGAACAGAGAGAGACAAGAGAGAGAGAAACATTGATGTGAAAGTGAAACATGGATGTGCGAGATCATCACAGGGCCATCCACATCCTCATTAAGAGGGCTTTTGTTTTTTTTAAGACTTGTGTTTTGTGCTTTGGGAGTTTTTTGGTGGTTTTTTCTTTTTTTAATCCTCATGCTTTTATTGATTTTAGAGAGAGAGGAACAGAGAGAGACAAGAGAGAGAGAAACATTGATGTGAAAGTGAAACATGGATGTGCTGCTTCCCGCACGTGCCCAGACTGGGTATCTAACCCACAACCTGGGCACGCGCCTGCCCTGTCAGTGCGCCGGAGGGAGGATGCTCCAGCCAGCTGAGCCACACCCGCCAGGGCTCATTAGAGGTTTTGGGTTTCATCTTTGGGGCTCACAATGGAACCACAGGTGGCATCGGGGTGGGGCGGCATGTGCGGTCAGGATCCCCAGTTGCAAGTAGGCCAGTGGGACCCGGAGGCACATCAGTGTTGGTTTGGACCTGGGTCCTGTGGGCCCCGGACGGACGCACAGCTGGGGAGCAGCACTGGGGAAAGGGTGCGGGCACGTGGGTTGGGGGAGGTGCGGAGTTTGTAGGGCCGCCCACCCCCTTATGCCTCTGGGCTTCCTCCACAGGCGATTTACAAGCTGAAGAAAGCCTGCAGGGTGGAGGGGGAGGCCGGGCAGCAAGGCCAGCTGCTCACGCCCGAGGAGGTCGTGGACCGGATCTTCCTCCTGGTGGATACGAACGGAGACGGTAGGAGGGGCAGAGGTGGTGGCCCACCCGTAGCGCCCCCACTTCCTGGCCGTGTGACCTGGGCAGACCCCTCCACCTGTCAACTGGTGTCCTCATCTGCGAGCTGGGTGTGCAGAGGACGCCAGGAAACAGCAAAGGGTGTCTAGCCCATGACGTTTGTACGAGCCAGTAAGACTCCTATGGAGTGGCTGGTGGAGGCCGGGCCAGCGAGAGGGTGGGAGCTTTGGAGACGGGCAGACGGATGGTAGGATGGCACATGATCTCTCAGCCTGGTCTGGAAGCAGGTGATAATGGCTGGGAGGACTAAGTGGGTAATAAAGCCCAAGGCTGTGCAGGGAGGCAGCTGTTGGGAACACGCCCAGAAGAGCCCTCCAGAGCGTGCCCAGGGCTCCACGGGCAAAAGGAACACTTCAGTTCATTCGTGAAGAAGTCCCTTTAGAAAGCCTGGAAGGCTCCAGGAGAACCTGGAGCATCCCAGGCGCTGGGCTTAGGCTCCTGTGTGAGAGCTGCAGGCCCCCTGGGGAGAAGACCTCTCCTCTGCCCCTCCTCTCCTCTCCCCTGCCCCCTGCCCCGTCTCTCCCCGTCTTCCGCACGCCCATCTCTCCCGCCCCTCTCTCAGGCCAGCTGTCTCTGAATGAGTTCATCGAAGGTGCCCGCCGGGACCAGTGGGTGATGAAGATGCTGCAGATGGACGTGAACCCCGGCGGCTGGATCTCCCAGCAGAGGCGGAGAAGTGCCATGTTCTGAATCCACAGGCCCCTCCCAGACTCCAGGCTCAGCAGGTGTCCAGAGCAGTGGCGGGGAGGTGGGTGCTGGCTCAGCCCCCTCATGCCCACTCAGCTTATCCCCTTCAGCTGCTCCTGGGCTGGGCAATGATGAGGCTCCCACAAATTCCTACAGGGTTCTTAGCTGGAAGCAGGGCACATGGAGGGGTGGGGTCCCACAGGCCACACTAACAATGAGAATGCCTAGGTCCTAGGAGGTAGGGCCTGAAAGTGTTGAGTCTGAAGAAAAGACGCATCTGCTGTGTGTGATGGGGGGGGGTGTAATTATGTCCCCCCAGATCCTGAGGAGTGTTCACAGAGGGCGCTCACCTCCTCCCCAGTTGCCCCCACCTGGGTGCCCGCGGGGAAACTGGCGAGGCAGGCTGGGCTCTCCCGCCCTCAGAGGGTCCGCTGCGCTGCTTCCCCAGCCCCCGCTGCACCCCACCCCTCTGCTCCCCTCCCTACCCCTGGTGCCCACGCTTGCCTCTCCACCGCCCTCCCCAGCATGGCCCTCCCACGATTCCCACGATTCCCAGCCACAAGCCCAGCACGTCTCCTTAGCGAAGGGAGACACCTTCCCTGCCTCTGGGGAGAACTGGGGGCCTGACGACCTGGGTTCTAGGTCAGGCTTTGCCTCCACCTGCTATGTGACCCCGACGGCCATTTCTCCTCTGGACCTCGGTTACCTGGTCTGCACCGTGAGCGGGACTGGACTAGACCCTCAGTTTTCAGATGATTATTCTTTAGATTTTGAATTATTTTTGTTATACAAATTCTGTGCACAACCCCGATGTAGAAACTAGATTAAAAGGGAGGCGCTCTGGTTGAAGGGGGCTGAGCGACTCAGACCCCTCCCACCGCTGGAGCCAGAGGCACCTCTGAGAACGCGAGGCCTGGTCAGTGTTACCCAGCGTTACCCACCTAAAGTGGGACCTGGAGACACGCTTGCTTTACCGTGAAGAGGTATGTCTTTATGCTGATGCACGAAAAATAAAACCAACCTGCTGAACCTGTGGTTTCGTAGGTCTGATATTCATATAAAGGCTCCTATAGAAATTTTAGGTGAAAAATGGCCGATTTAAAAAAAGTAATAATCCAGGTGGGACACAGATATGCCCCAAGTCATGAAGGTGGTGTGTGGGTGACGATGGGGAACGTCCTTATTCTGTCCAGATACCCTCCCAGCTCTGACCTTCAGGATTTCCCAACAGGCAGCCACCAGAGAACAGAAGTGCCAGCTCCCAGTGTTTCCAGGCTGCCCGCATTGACCATCCCTCCACGTCCGTGCTCAGGCCTGGCTGGCTTCCAAGGGGTGGACAGGATGGGTGTGAGCAAAATGCACCCTCTCACCCTCCCAGGGGGGCTCTCTGCAACCAGGGGCTTCACTCCCTTCTCCCCCTTTTCTCCCTCCTGCTGCATTTTTATTAACTCCATGCATACGCCCCCGCCCCCACCCTCCACACACACCCAGCGAAGTGAAGACTCAAAGCCCAGAAGAGAGAGCATCTTGAAAATGGGCACAACTGCTTCAGCCTGTCTCTCCCAGGTCCTCGGACAGGTTTTCCTAAAGTTGGGGTGCGCACAGAATGGGCAGGAGGCCCACCCGGAACAGGTTGCCCCACTTCCCAACTGATGCCAGGTGTCCTGCAGCAGGAGAGACTGACGGGAGGCCAGGGATGGCCCGGCCGCCTCAGTGAGTCACAGAGCTGTGGGGCCCAGGCCGCAGGCACCGCATGCCACCAAGTAGCCAGCAAGGGAGTAGGAGGTTTGCACGGTCACTTCTGAATAAATACGGATTTCCTCTGGATAATTGAGGACTTTCTATACTACCACCTCACCCTCCTTCACTGCTTTGGCCAACATCCGACTCAAGCATCCCTTCTTCCCACGGGGTGTGAATGCGCGCACGTGTGGCTGTCATTTGGTCATGATTCGGATCTGCACTCACATCCAAACACTCCATCCTCATCTCCTTGGTAGCACTGTAACCTCTTGAAGGAGGTGTCTCCCTACGCCCCACAACTGGGGCTCTTGGAGGTGCTCCCTAAAAATGGATATGACGACCCCTTATTGTTTCAAATTTGGTAAAATGTAAATCCTAAGAGACACCCCCAATTTACACCTAAGAAAACTCCTCCCCATGTCACACGGCCCCCACATGGGACACAAACACATCACAGAGCATGCACCCTCCAACCTCCCCCACACATCACCTTCTCCACATGCAACCCCAACTCCTCTTCACATTCACAGTCAGGGGCCACCTCTGTGAGGCTGTCTCTGAGTCCAACTCACTCACAGTTTCCTGTGCCCCTGCAGGAGTCCATTCATAGCTTCCCTTAGCATATCATCATAATAAAAGGCTAATATGCAAATGGTCGTCACATCGTGATGTATGACAACCGATCAGCAGGGACCTGAGGCTGCGTGGTGCCTGGCTGGGTGGGGGACCTCAGGCCGTGCCCACCGCCCAGCAGGGCTTGACGGGGGACCTGAGGCTGTGCCCCCCGCCTGGCGCCAGGCCAGGGGACCTGAGGCTGCGCCCCTCGCCCAGTGGAGCTTGACAGGGGTGGGGCCCGCTGGGTCTGGATCTCGCCCAATGGGGGTGCGGCTGGCTGGGTCTGGGTCTTGCGCAATTTTGAGGCACCGCGGGTATGTGGGGACTTGACTCTGGGTCCCGCAGCGTGCCCCATACTCTGACAGGAGGAACATTTTCATATACATTTTACTAATTTTCTTTCATCTCTGACACTTCTATTTTAGAGAAAGGGCAAATAGCAGTATTAAAATATTTCCTCTAATTAATCCCCTTTTAATGTGCATGAATTTCGTGCACCAGGCCACTAGACTAATTTTCTTTCATCTCTGACACTTCCATTATAGAGAAAGGGCAAATAGCAATGTTAAAATATTTCCTCTAATTAATTCCCTTTTAATGTGAATGAATTTCATGCAGCGGGCCACTGGTTTTATTATAACGAACTTAGCCTGTGAGTTCCTTGAAGATGAGGCTCCTCTTCCCTGCACATCTAACATCTAGCCTTAGTACATAGTAGGTGTTCAATAAATGCTTGTGGAGTGGGAGGGGCAAATCCATGCCAAGCACACACGATGGCTCGATGGTCCTGGGGCTCCTTGCAGCACCAGGATGGAGGCTGCAGCACAGGCCCTGGAGGGCTCCATCAGATCAGCCTCGCGCTTCCATGTCTAGAGAGTGGGCCTGCAGAAGCTCAGGGGAGAAGCTGGGGAGGTGCCAGACGGGCAGAGGGCTGCCGGGTGCCCCCAGCAGGAAGAGTCACCACCAGCTGAGTCACACAGAGGAGGTTCAGCAACTGTGCTTCACCATCCCCACCTCCGGACCCCCACCCTGGCCCTGCGCTACCACCGTGCTGCCCAGCGAGGGGAGCTGAGCCCTGAGTTCAGTAGACTATCTAGGGGGTAAAAGCGACAATGGTGACACCAGCACCACCACCAGCACCGCCACACACCCCTCCCCACGCAGAAGCACCTGGGGGCGGTTCAGCCGGCTGCCTCAGCCGCCCCGCCCCCGGCCCCCTCCTGGTCCTGCTCCCCGTTCTGGAGCCTGCGCACAATGCTGGTGAGGTCCAGGCTGCGCGTCAGCGTGTCCAGGAGCATCCGGTCCTTCTGGACGCCCTCCATGAACTCCTCCAGGGACAGCTCCCCTGGCGGCCAGAAAGGGAGTCACGAGGAGGAGGGGTTGTCTCCTTGGCAGCATTGCACCAGGGCCCAGAGCTGGAGTCTCTCAAGGGGCACAGGCCACTGCTGGGGACGCAGCTGTGAGGGGGGCAGGCAAAGGAGCCAGAGAGCAAGGTCTGGTCCAGGAATCCCTCACACCCGGGTCTGTGGCTGGGACCCTCCACCCTGGGGCCCCCTCCCCGGGGGACCCCTACCCCGGCCTCCTCACCATCCCCGTTGACATCGATCCTGGAGAACACCGTGTCGGTGAACTCCTCCGCACTCATGGTCGAGTCGCTGCAGGGGTTAATGGCTCGGATGGCCTGGGGGGAGGAAGAAGTGAGAGGGCCCCTCCTGACTCAGCCTCGCTGGTGCGGGGGCTGCAGTGGGGAGTGGAGGCAGAGCTGGGACTCAGGAGGAAACTGAGGCCCAGAGAGGGGAAGGAACGTGAGGGTCAGAGCTGCCACCGGGACCCTCCCTTCCATCCTGTCCCCTGCAGGGATGACAGCTCTGCCCACTGAAGACCCAAACCCGTCTAAGCCCCCGGCCGGCCCTCTGCACCTGGAGTTACCCGGATGATGGTGAGCAGCTCGTCGCGGTCGATGCATCCGTTGCCATCCACGTCGTAGAGCTTGAAGTACCAGCGCAGCTTCTGTTCCACCTTCCCCTTGAGGACCAGGCTGAGCGCCGCCACGTACTCCATGAAGTCGATGTAGCCGTCCTGGGCGGGGGAGGCCGCCTTGAGCCCTCTCCCACCCCTCCTGAGACCCTCCCCCTTGGTGCCCACCCCATCTGTCCTGGCCACCCAGCGTCTGCCCGCCTGCCCCAGAGGCTTCGGTCCACTCTGACAAGCTACCCCCGGCTGGGCTGCGAGTGGCACTTGGGTTGTAGCTGTCACTGCTGCTTCCCTGTGCTTCTCAGACTCGAGCCCTTCCGGCGGGCTTGTGGGTGGGAGAAGAGATGTGAATTCCCAGGGGTGGGTGGGGGCTGGGTGAGCTTTTCCCAGCTCGGTGAGGGCAGGAGGTAGATGTGGAGGCAAGGGCTCAAACCTCGCTTTTGCCTTCTGTGAGAATCCTGATGGTACCTGCCTCTGTGGGATCGTCTTGGGGTTACAGGACAGCAGCACCCACTCTGCTGGGCCCCGGGCAGGGGGTGGGGGGGGGCCTGGGTGGCTTCCCGAGGGAGCCGAGGCCCTCATCGGCTCTTGGAGAGGTTGGCCATGGGGGGAGGGGGTGGCACAGACATTCCTGCAGGGCATTTCTTTAGGGTCCCCCGAGTGTTCACCTGCTGACCGTCTGCTGGCCCTGCCAGTCCTACCATGTTCTCTGTCCCCCTCTCCCCAAACCGAGTGAGGCTGGCGAGGGAAGCCTATCTCGCAGGCAGGCTGCGCCCTGGTAAGGGCGGGAGCGCTGGGTCAGACACATGGACTCGGGGTCCAGCCCCCACTCCTCCGCTCACAGCCAGGACTCGGGGTCCAGCCCCCACTCCTCCGCTCACAGCCAGGACTCGGGGTCCAGCCCCCACTCCTCCGCTCACAGCCAGGACTCGGGGACCAGCCCCCACTCCTCCGCTCACAGCCAGGACTCGGGACCAGCCCCCACTCCTCCGCTCACAGCCAGGACTCGGGTCCAGCCCCCACTCCTCCGCTCACAGCCAGGACTCGGGACCAGGCAGTCGCTGAGAAGCATGAGGAACTCTTTCACAGGCAGAGCTGCCTCGTTGGGTAGTGAGCTCCCTGCCACTGGAGTGCGCAAGCAGAAGCTAGAGCAGTTACCAGGGATGTGGCAGGAGCTGGGCCGGACGGCCTCTGAGACCCGGCTCTGTGCTGGCCTTTGGCCGTAGGCGAGGCCTTAGCCACGGTGAGCCCACAGCGAGGACTGTGATCTCAGTGAACATCCGTGTGCTGCCCCGTGTCCCAGGGCTTTTGCACACGCCTTAGCCCCTAGGATGCTCGCCCACCCGCCTCCCAGGACCGCTGTGGAGCGAGGCCGGAGGCTCGGAAACAGCTGAAGACGCTTCCACTGCGGGGACTTGGGGTGAGGATGCCTTTGCTTTTCGTTTTTACCTCTCTGTGTTGTTGGACACTTTACAACGTGCTGTATGACTTGTGCAATTTGTTGTTGTTTAATGGCTACAAAGGATCGATGGAGGTTCAATGGAAAGATATGGGCTTTGCTTTCAGAAAGCCCTAACCGCGTGGCAGGAGAGGGGTGACCTCCGACGAGCACAGCACGCGGCCGCCTGGAGGCGCAGTGTCCTCGCTCTGAGGTGGCAGTGGCGGTGTGCACGCTCCCAGACCGTGCGGTGGCTGAATCAGAATGACATCCAACAAGCTCGCTGCTTCTTAGTGCTTCCTGCGCTGAGCGTTCTACTCGTTTCGCTCATTTAACCTCACAACCGCTCCCAGGAGCTGGGAGTTTTGTCCCCATTTTCAGCTGAGAAAGCTGAGGCTGAGAGAGGTTAGGCCGCACAGCCAGGGGGTGACAAGTGCTTGCCTGGAACCTGGGCCTCCTCGTCCCACCCGGCGCTCAGACGCGGGGATGGAAAGTTCACGCTGGTTTGGACGCACCGGTGTGACTGCCGGGCCCAGCCAAGCCCTCGAAAAACTTTGAAATAAGCAAAGCCTATGTTTGTCCCCCGGGTCACACTCCCACTCACTCTGCTATACCCCCAACCCTCCTCTCCCAGCACAGCACCCTCCCCTAACTCAGGGGCTGGCAGACACTTTCTGTAAAGGGCCCGATGGCAAATATTTCCATTGCCCCCCAAGGTAACCACGTGGGTGTGGTGTGTTCATCTGTAAATGTAGGCCCACGGGCCATGCTTGCACACCCAGCTCTAACTCCCCTCTGTATCAATGTCCTAGCCAACCTGCTCGCCTGCTCTGTACTCAGGACAATGGGACTCAGACCATCGGTGTCCATGAGGCACTTGAGATGTTACAAGATGCTCTTCACATAAATAGCTGTTTTTAAATGAATGTTGGTGTGAAATATAAAACGAGCCATAAACTCGTGAGTTCGCATACATCCATTCACTCAGATAACAAATCCCTACAAAGTAACCACTGCGCCCCAGGCACTGATTTTAAACACTCCCTGCCCTCACGGAGCTCACATTCCGGCGGGGAGACAAACATAAGCAGAGTGGCTAAATGCTGCTCAATATCATGCGTTCGAAGACAAGACGTGCTCTGGGGTGGGACTAGGAAATGCAGGGGTGGGGCTGCTCCCAGTAAAATAGGGTTTGAAGCAGGAGGTCAGGGCAGGAGACATCTGAGCAGAGACTGGTAGCAGGGGAAGGTGTGAGCCAAGCAGCACCAAAACCCTAAAGTGGGGGTGGGGGGGGGGCATGTGGCATAATCGAGGAAGTCAGGTTTGGGACAGACCAGGTGGTGGTTGCATGTGACAAGGATTAAAGAGAGGGCATATGCATGACTCGGGTTGGCGGGTTGCCCCTGCCTGGTGTCATACGTGGGATTTTAGAGGGTATTTATGGAGACATGTCTTACCCCAAAGGATTTCCTTAGTACGTGAGAAGCTGAGCTATTTGGGGGCATTGGGTGTAGGTATTGAGGCTCTTTTCTGCCTGTTCAGGAATCACGGCTGCTTCTGGGAGAGTTGGGAGGCCCAGCGTCCTGATGCCACCCCTCCAGGTCTCCATGCCCCAGGCTCCCGTACTCTGCTCCCTTGCGCCCCCTTCAGGAAAGCCCTCATGATGCTGCCCTTGAGGCTGGGACTCAAAGTTCATAATCTGCTTTGGCCCCTTGACCCCAAATATTAGCGAGTTTTAAATAGCTCTGAGCCCAGCTTTCCCTAGAAGCCCCGCCTACATTGGTGCTCGGCTCTCTGGGTGGTGAGAGGAGCTGGGAGAGCTCCGGGCAGCCTCTCCCCAGCGTGCGCTGGATACACGGCAGGACATCCTCGCATCTCACCTTTCGAGGGAGTGCCAGCCGGGTGGGGACCAGCCAGGGTGGGAAGACCCGCTCTGGGTTCTCCCACCACTACATCCTGACTGAATTGCTCCAAATAAATGCAAGATTTGCTATTGAAAACTAACAAACATTCTAACTAACGCTCCGACGTCCGTGGCAGATACAGGTGACTAAGCTGAGGCTGAGGGGCAGAGAATGGGTTCAAGGTCACCCAGCTGATGAAAACTAGGGGCCCAGACTCACGGTGCCTAACTCCTTTGTCAGTGTGCCCTGTAGCTTATCCGGAAGGCTTCACCCAATGCGTCCAGGTGGTTCCTTGAGGAGACTTACAAGTTGACCCACTTGAGAAAGGGAACTGAGGTCACTGGGTATTTTGGAGTTGGAGTGGCCTGGATTCCCTAGTGGCCAGCAACCCTGCCTGTCCCCAGACCTAGTGTCCACAGACCATCACGGGTGACCCCAGTAACGTGGGCCTGCCCATCCCAGTTGAGGAGACGTACAAGTTGACCCACTTGAGAAAGGGAACTGAGGTCACTGGGTATTTTGGAGTTGGAGTGGCCTGGATTCCCTAGTGGCCAGCAACCCTGCCTGTCCCCAGACCTAGTGTCCACAGACCATCACGGGTGACCCCAGTAACGTGGGCCTGCCCATCCCAGGCCAGCCGGGGGTTGGACCCTCCTCACCCTGCTCTCTACTCCCCGCCCCTCCTTCTGCATCCTTGTGAGCTTCTGTGCAAAATCACCGCATGCAGCATCGAGCACCTAGTAGGTGCTCAGTGACTGTCCGGGAAGTGTTCACACTTGTTCTGGAGTAAATCTGAATGTGCGTGTGGGAGGCAAAGGGAGCCATTCCGCTCCGTCTGCGAGGACCCTAACCTGGGACCTGTCTGCCTTCCCCTGGGAGCCAGGGCAGGGATGGTCCGCGTCCTTCCGCACCCAGTGCCTGGCTCTCAGTAGGTGCTCAGCGAGTCTGAGACCAATGTCCCTAACGTGGGCATTCAACCTCCCAGGTAAACAAAGACCTGTATAAATGAAGCCCTCCTCAGTAGACCCTGCTGTTCTCACATCTCCCCCCCGCCCCCCAACGCTGATTGGGGCTCCCTCCATCACCCCACACCCAAGCCCCTGCTCACTTTGTTGAAGTCAAAGGTCTCAAACATCTGCTCCACATACTGGCTGGTCGACGGGCTCAGGTTCTTGAGGCCAAAGAACTGGCGGAACTCGTAGAGGGTGAGCTGGCCCGAGGGGCACTCGGTCATGAACTTCTTGTACCACTGGTGGCACTCGGTGCTGCTCAGCTCTTCCACCGACTTACCCTCCATCACGTTGCCCATCGTCCAGGCCTGCGGAGGCGGACGCCTGAGACGGACCAGCCCTGTGCCCCACTTGCCCTGCACAGGACGGCTTGGCTTTTCAGAACTGGGCCCTCCTGGCTCACAGGCCTGAGTCCTGCAGATCTGAGCAAGGAGGGAGCTGATGAACCGGTTCAGGGAAATGTCGGGAGGAGGTGAGCAGGAGAGCGGAGGTAATGGGGCTGAGCAAGCCTACACCCAATCCAGGAGATGCCAGAGAACCGGGTACAAGCCCCCACTAAGTCCTTGCCGGCTGCTCGCGGGGGAGAGGAGTGAAAATAGAACCGGCCTTGGAGGAGGGAGGCCCAGGATTACAGCCTCGAGCTGGAGATGAGAGGATTTCCTTACCCAGTGGGCAGCCTCCTTATCCCTTCTTACCGGACAGAGCAGGTGCCAGCCGGCAGCTGTTCTGATCCTGTGACCTCCACTCCCTTCCCGTCCTCTTTTGGGTGGGCTCCTCCCTCGGACATGGAGTGGAGGTACATTGAAATAGAGCGGTTCCCCTCCAGAGCTGGGCCCGCTGGGGGCTCTTGACAGGGCTGCTGCGTACAGTTACCAGGCTGTGCACGGTGCTTGGCCTCACAACTGAGGGGTTCCAGTCCCTGCATGATAGCTCACATGTGAGAGCACTTGCGTGATGCAGTGCGGCTTCCAAGACGAGTCGGAAGCAGCCAGTGGAGGGGACGCCCTCCTACAATACCCTGCACGAGCGTTTATGGCCATGCACACACACTCACCGCTCCTGTCCTGGCCACACTGTCATGTTCCCGGAGGCTGCATCTTCCCATCCTGGGAGGCTCGAATTCAGCCCTGCATCTGACACCATCACCTCCCAGTGGCCTGGGGAGTGTGTGTGCGTGAGCGAGAGGCGGGCACACGCATGCATGGGTGAGCTGTTACCTGCTGGTCCTGGGAAGCTCCCAGGCCAAGCCGCAGGGCCCATCTTTGCAGCAACAGCTTTCTCTGACCCTAGTGGGATGTTCTCTGGCCATAGACTAACAGCGGTTCATTGTGGAGCCAGCACCCAGGTGCGCTTAAGTGGATGCTACCGGGAAAGTCCGGCTCTGCCCCTCCTCGACTTGCCCCTCCTCTACACGGGGACCATGCCTGTCCCCTACCTCAGCCAGAGGGAACCAGCACCCACATTCCTGCTTCCCCAGCAGCACTTGGACTGTGTCCAGGTTGTGACTGGTGCACTAGCACAGAAGTGTTTTTTACACGTGAGGAAGGGGTGCCTTGTGGGGGTGGTTTGTTACCTCAGCTAATCTACCCTCTCCTGGCTGATACAACAAAGACTGTCATCTTAAATACTGCACAGGCCAGCCAGTGTGGCTCAATGGTTGAGTGTCAACCTATGAACCGGGAGGTCACAGTTCAATTCCCGGTCAGGGCACATACCCAGGATGCGGGCTCGATCCCCAGTGTGGGGCATGGAGGAGGCAGGCGATCAATGTTTCTCTCTCATCATTGATGTTTCTATCTCTCTCTCCCTCTCCTTTCCTTACTGGAATTAATAAAAATATATTTTTAAATAAATAAATACTGCACAAATGTCACGAGTCTTTCTAGCAGCGCCAGCTGCGTGCCTGGCCCTCCCACACTGCCAGGCTGCAAGGAGAGGATTCTTTATTCCAGGTGCAAAGCACTGTTTCTTCAGAGTGAAGGGAGGTTTTTATATTCACGTGTATGTATGTAAATGCACTTATATGTACATAAATGTATAATATAACTATATAATGACATCAGTATACTTACATGTGAATTAACTTATATAAGTGGTATGCAATCTATGTTACATATATTATATATCAGAGTACATGCATAATATCTCAGAATTGGCCAGGTGATGCTATAGTAACAAACCATGCTACAACCTCAGTGGCTTAAAGCATCACAACTTTATTTCTTGCTCACACTACTTGCCGGGTGACCTTGAGCAAATGCCTTAACCGCCCTGGGCCTCAGTTTCATCCTTAAAATGGAGATAAGGGTGCCCACCTCACAGGGCTGGTAAGAGGATTGAGTGAATTAAAATTAATGAGTGAAAAGCATTTAGAACCGGGTCTGGAAAAAAGAGTTAGGGCCCCATATTGGCGGTCGCTGTATTATTTCGTATCTGTTACGGGGGTGGCGTGCTATTGACTTAGGATCTAGGTGCAGTGACGTTGCATCTTGGGCACAGCAGTGTCCCCGGATGGCAGCCAACCTGTCATCTTGTCCCTTTAATCCCATCAACCATGGCCCTGCGCTGTGTGTGGTGGGGGGACAGACATCCACCTGTGGTCGGGCTCCAGAGAAGGTAGAGGCCTCATTAAAACCTCATTAGATTCAGCCCCATTCCCCCCTCCCCGCCCCTTGCCTGCCTCTCCCACAAGAAGCTGGAAAAGAGAATTGTTTTCTTAGCCTCTCTGGCAGCTAACGTGGCCACATGACATGGTTCAGCCAAAGGAATGTAAGGGAAGGTCTGCCATGGTTTTCTGGGAAAACGCTACTTTCTTGATAAGAAGTGATAACGAAGCAGCTGGGGCTGCCTGCCCTTCCCCTGCTTTTGGCCTGAATGTGAGTGTGATGCCTGGACTGCAGCCGCCTTCTTGGGACCATGAGGCTATCAGCAGAGGGAAGGCCACGAAATCCAGAGATGTCAACCTTGGCTGTTGAGCGGCTGAGCCCATGGCCATAACCACTGCCTCTGCACAGCTCTGGTTGTGTTTGGAAAAGAACCCCCTCTTCATTTAAACAAAACAAACTCGAACCCTCAGAGGCAGTGTGAGAATGAAGGCACCAGGAAGATGGTGGTTCGCATGCAGTTTTGTGTAAGAATGTCAGGCTGTGGCTCCTGGGAACGGACAGACGGGAGGGCCAGGGGCCTGCAGGTCAGCTCAGAGGTGCGCCCAGCTCTGTCCAGGACGGACAGTCACCACCTTCCCACCGCAGGACACCCACTGTGGGCATCCACAGGCTGTGCCCTCTGCCTGGGCGAGGAAAGGGGTCCCGAGGGGTGGGGACCTGTGCCCCAGCCCAGCAGCCCTTCCTCAGGTGAACACCCCCTTTCAGCAGCTCAGGACGCGTAGGAACCAGCAGAGCAAGACCCTGGCACCTGGGGCGGGGG